TGTGTGTGTATATATATATATATATATATATATATATATATATTCATTCTTGGATCTATACGTATGCATCTATACGTATGCATCTATACGTATGCAAAAATTTGACAAAAAAAGTGCGATTTTTAAACTTCTAAATGATGTGATTATAAATCCTGATGATTAATTTTAAAATTGTATGAATATATGACTATGAATCACATGCATGATTTTAAATTGAGAGGATATGAATCCCGATATGAATCCCGACATGAGGCTTTTCAATCACGTGAGTATGAAGCTCTATATCGAATTTAAAAAATTCGAAAATACAAATCATGATGCGTAATTTTTAGATCACGTAAATAAAGAATAATGATGCATAATTTTTAAATCGAGCAAATGCGAATCCCAATGTCTAATTTTTAAAGCACATATAAATACGAAAATCGAAATACGAAAATGTTTAATATTACAAACGCAAAAACGAATCACGACATTGGAGTTTAAGTAAGCGTGAATACGAATCGCTACATAAGGTTTTAAAAGCGCAAAAATATATATATGCGATATAAACGCGATATTGGATTTTAAAATCTCGTAAATAAGAATCATAATGTACGATATTTAAATAGCGTAAATAAGAATCGCAATGCACAACTTTTAAATCAGGTAAATACAAAAATCAATGATTGATACTAAAATCGCGTGAAAAAGAATCGAGATATTTGCAGAATCTGGACTTGGGGTTTCTGAAATGTTCAAAAATTCTTTTGTTTAGACATAATGAATAAAAATTTACAAGACTAATTGAATGAGCAAATATATATTTTCTCCGCAAATCTACCTCTAAAAGTTTTTTTTTTTCGTTTGCTTTCACGCCAGAAAACAGGAAGCAGCGACGTCTGAATTGCAAAAATATTAGCTATCCGGCGTACGGATAAAAATACGGAAAATCTTATTTTCTGTAATTAAAAGTCGAGAATAGCTAGAATAAGTAAAAATGCGAAAGCGTTAGCAGCTAGGACGTAGTTAGAATTTTCTGTTTATCTTTGAAAATCGTAAATAAATATAAATTCCTCATAAAATATTTTAACTTGTCCAAAAAAAATTATCCGCGGAAATTAGCGGAAAAATGGAAAAATCTGGAAAAAAAGCGGAAATCTGCGAATCCACAGAAGAATCACATCCCTGTTTATTATTGAACAAAAAAAAGAAATAAACAAAACGATTTAACTTTATAATGTTATACATGAGTGAGAACATTACCGCCGAAAATTTGGCAACTACTTTATAAAGCTTCCTAGCTCACTCTGGGGTGTGTACAGTGGGCAAAATAAAAAAGATATCAGCCTGAATACCTTTTGTTCTAATGATCGGATTTTCATGTACTAAGTGCCAATTGTAATGGTTCCTGGGGGTGACTTCAAATAAGCTAATTACTTAGTGCTAACTTTTAATTAAGTTACGAAATCAGACACAAAAATGCACTTTCTCTGAATAAACATATACTTTTTTTATTAAATACTTAGATTTCCGACCCTCAAAATAGAGGGGGATAGCCTCAATCTGGAAATAGTGGTCCTAATAGATTAATCAGGAGAGCAGAAGAAAGTTTGGTCCCCTTAATGTTAATTTCATTTTCTGCATTTTTGGTAATATCTTTAAAACTAATTGTGCAATTTTAAAACTAACTGCGCAATTTTTAAAAAAATTGCACCCACTCATGAAACTTATTTACTCAAAGATAATTTCTTGCAAAAAACAATTTTTAATAACTATTTATTTTTTATTATTTAATTTAATAGTGAATGAAAAAATATTTTGAATTACGAGTCATAAATTTCTTTACACTATATTACTCTATTTTTCCATAGTGAAATATAAAGTTTAAATTGTTTATATTAAGTAGAAGCTAAGAAAAATCAAAATTATTTTTAGAAAAATATTTTGGTGACAATGAAAAAATTATTTAAATGGAGCGGTTAATGCTTAAATTTTGTAAACTTGCAAGGAACTTGACTTATGCAAACCTAGCGTAAATTTTATTCATGATTTTTTGTTGTTTGGATTCCATATCATTTTCCTTTTTTAATTACAAAATACCATGTTTCTTAATAAGTCGTCTGCTAATTTATATTTAATTTAGTAAAGAGATTTTAATAAAACATTATATTATCGAATGTCAAGTTTTATGAAAACTTGTTCTTGACTGAATGAGGTTATGTATCTGTTTCTTTTTTTTTTTTNATACTAACGTTTTTACTAAAAAGAAGATAATGGAAAATTTAAGTGTTTTAACCTAATCTTTAAAGTGTGTTAGAAAAGAATAATACATATTATATAAAGTGGAACCACAGCTAACTTAATAGCTGGGAGCAAAGAAAATCAAATAAGAATTTATACTAATTCTGATTAGCAGGGAATATTAATTTTGTGCCAAGACAAATACAATTAAAAGGGGTGTGCTGTGAAAATAGTTACTCCAAAAAATCTTTTATTATTGAACAAAAAAAGAAATAAACAAAACGATTTAACTTTATAATGATATACATGAGTGAGAACATTACTGCCGAAAATTCGGCAACTACTTTATAAAACTTCCAAGCTGACTCTGGGGTGTGTACAGTGGGCAAAATAAAAAAGATATCACCCTGAATACCTTTTGTTCTAATGATCGGATTTTCATGTACTAAGTGCCAATTTTAATGGTTCCTGGGAGTGACTTCAACTAAGCTAATTAATTAGTGCTAACTTTTAATTAAGTTACAAAATCAGACACAAAAATGCACTTTCTCTGAATAAACATATACTTTTTTTATTACATACTTAGATTTCCGACCCTCGAAATAGAGGTCGAAAGCCGCAATCTGGAAATAGTGGTCCTAATAGATTAATCAGGAGAGTAAAGGAAAGCTTGGTCCCCTTAATGTTAATTTCATTTTCTACATTTTTGGTAATATCTTTAAAACTAATTGTGCAATTTTAAAACTAACTGCGCTATTTTTAAAATAATTGAACCCATTCATGAAACTCATTTACGCAAAAATAATTTCTTGCAAAAAATAATTTTGAACAACTATTTATTTTTTATTATTTAATTTAATAGTGGACGAAAAAATATTTTGAATTATGAGCCATAAATTTTTTTATACTATTTTACTCTAATTTTCCATAGTGAAATATAAAGTTTAAATTTTTTATATTAAGTAGAAGATAAGAAAAATTAAAATTATTTTTAGAAAAATATTTTGGTGACAATGAAAAAATTATTTAAATGGAGCGGTTAATGCTTAAATTTTGTAAACTTGCAAGGAACTTGACTTATGCAAACCTAGCGTAAATTTTATTCATGATTTTTTGTTGTTTGGATTCCATATCATTTTCCTTTTTTAATTACAAAATACCATGTTTCTTAATAAGTCGTCTGCTAATTTATATTTAATTTAGTAAAGAGATTTTAATAAAACATTATATTTAACGAATGTCAAGTTTTATAAAAACATGTTCTTGACTGAATGAGGTTATGTATCTGTTTTGTTTTTTTTTAATTTTAATATATTTATTCCAAATATGATTCAATTACAGTAATGTGGATAGGTACGCATTTATTAGGAATAATATATTTATCAATTATTTAATATAAATTTTAATAACTAAACCAGGGGTTGCCAAACTTTTTTGATCGTCGACCCCTACATAATTTTTCGAAATCTCCATCGACCCCCATAAAAGTAATTTTCTGTTAATTAAAATAAAACTCTATTAGATACTGTGTTTGTACATTTATTTTATGATTTTGAACATTTATTAAAATAATAGTACATAGTGTATCAAAAGTTTTATGAAAAATATATTAATGTTGAAATTTAATGCCTTAATATTTATGAAATAATAAGTAATTAGAAGTAAGTAGAAATAATAAGTAAAGTAACTACGGATTTATTGCTTCTTAATCAATGACATGGGTGTGTCTGGTGTTTTTTTTTTTTCTTTTTTTTTGCAAGGTTCGTTATATTGGGTTCAAAATTGGTCAATTTTAATCTTAAATCCCCTCGAAACTCCACATTTAATTTATTTCTGTTCTTAGTTAAGATTGAATTTACGTGACTGAAACCGGCTTCAACCATATAGGAACTTGGAAATGCTATCATAAATGGCTGAGCTATTTCGTAAAGTTGTACATATTTTTGCATTATATTTATATTTGTCCAAAATTTGCTTATTGTTAAATTTTTAAAAAGCGTCCTTGCTTCAAATCCCCATAATAATTCAGCAAGCTCATCTTGCAGGTTGATGCCCACGTTTTCAATTTGAGCAGAAAATGGCACAATAATCCAATCAGGGATGTCAATGTTTCCCAAATCAACAAAACGCAGTTTAAAATCGTCGCCCAATTTTTGATGGTTACCTGTATATATTTCCAAGTCTTCTTCTTTTATTTCTAATTGTCACATATCTGAAAAATACTGATAATCCTTCGACCAATCGACCCATTCGACCCCCTGGCTCAGATCGACCCCCGCTTATGTTAAATAGACCCCTGGGGGTCTATATAGACCACTTTGGCGACCTCTGAACTAAACAATATACATATAAACAAAGATACTAGTTATGTAAAAAGTATCTTTATATCACTTAAACCAAGCTTACAAAATCATCTGAAATACTGTTTATGGCATCGACAACGATTATCTGAAATATCATTTTAAAAGTCACCACAAAGAGTATAAAGATGCAGAACGCCAAGCATAAAGACCTGTTGAATACATAGCCCTAAGTTTTAAGTGTTCTAAAATATCTCTGGATCTTATATATTGTCCTAACATCATAATTTCAAAATTAAATTTTTAATTACCGGGCTATGTGTGATTCACAGGACTATTCAACCAGCTATTTCATTACATTTTTACATTTTTCAAATTATTTTTCTTTATGCAACTACTTAAAATTTTTTCCTATTATATACTAATCTATTTTACATAGTTTTAAAAGTTTTTCCTTAAATTGACACTCCCTCTATGTAATTGTCAAGTCTTTTTTTTTCTTCAAAACTCAGAACTGTAGCCAGTTAGCTAATAAGAATTTAAGAACACTTTCATTTATTAAAATTACTCGAAGCAAACAGTCTGATTGATTGAATTAAATAAGTGCACCCTTTTTCTCTGGGAATGAACAAACAAATTATTTATTTACTTACTTTATTACTTCTTATTTGTTTGATTTGTGAAAAGTTAAAACATATCAGTGCTACTTAAAAAACCGCAACTGTTTGTTTCGTTTTTTAAATGAACAAATTCGAACCACAATTTTATTTTGACGCTTTCCAATGCAGCAAATATTCTGAACTAATTTGTTCAGAGGCTTAATGCTAAGAAGGTAAAAAGTGATAGTTGTTAATAAAGTGTTTCATATGTTGTACATAACAGATTTTCCACAAGAGAGCAAAAGCTTTGAGCAACTAGTTTTATAATTAAAAATACCAATCTTAAAACAAATAAAACCAGTTTAAGAAACAATTAATCAACATCAAAACATCGAAAAGCTTAGTTGTGAGAAATAATATTAGCATTCAAAGCAGTAAAATACTTATAATCGATAAAAGCATAATACTAACTCTTCAGGGGGATCCATAGATTGTGATCGTTCTCGGTCTTCAGCGGGAGAAAATAAGTCAAACTGAATAGGTGTTTCCAACAAAAGATTCTCAACTGGAGTAGAGGGAGAACTTGCAGGATTATTTAACTTAGCATCCCTAAAATATAGAACATAAAATAAAATTTAGAAAAATTAACATGTTAAACAGCATAACACTTAAATACCAGGAAAATACTTACAATCAGTTCAAAATATTGAAATAAAGCTTCTTTTTTTTAAAAAAAATTCAAAAACATGTTTTTATTTATGAATTTTCAAATTACGACTAATAAATGATTCATATTATAATACTATTTACCATAATGAACTATAAGAATGGGGGGAAAAAAACAAATTAATTGAATAATTTTTTATTGAGATAGTAACGTGATTTTAAATATTTTGTTTTGAATAAAATTAATTTTAAAAATTCAATGCATACCAATAAAAATATCTTTCTTTTTAATTGATAAATAAAAATTAAAATAAGTCCAAAAGTCCATAATATATATATATATATATATATATATTCATGAGATATTTGCATTGAAAAGTTTCTGAATGACATAGATTTTAGAGATACAAAGAAAGCCAAGTAAAAAGTAATACAAAGTAAATTAATAACTNTATATATATATAAAAAATAACCATTTTTTAAGATTGACAATTAATCAGCAACTTTTAATATGCATATATTAGCATATAAAAAAACTTATTTAATTATATTAGCATTTACAAAAACTTCATAACAGTATTAGTATTTAAGCTTAAAATCTGAATACTAAAAAATCATAAGTATTTTAATTAATTACAGTGTTAAAGAACAACACTCTTATGAGTTAGAATTTTATCATAATTGGGCCAATAAAAGCATATAGTTTACCAGTCATCCATAGAAAATTATCACACATAAAATCTATGGTTTCTAAGCAATAACATTATTAATCGACATCATTAAATTTATCATCATTAGGAAAAATTAAATCGAATAATAACATTACCAAAGTATCTCAAAATAAAATAAACTATATATATTTATTATTGAAAAATAAATTATCTTACCCTTCAGTACTTGAAGTGTTACTTGAAGCTGATAGAGACTTTTCAACTGTATTTTGCTAAAATTTAAATATGCATAAGTGAAAACAAATTACACGTTGCTAAATTTAATTTTTTAGAGTTTTTTCAGATTTATTTTGAGTCTTTTTGCTAAATTTAATATCTTAGAGTATATTTTTATACTTAATGGATATTGAAATAATAGTTTGGAAACTTTTTTTTCTCACAATTCATTAAAATCTAGAGTTCAGCTACCTTATTAAATGTAATTTCATAATAAATATAATACCAATTATCCATAATTAAGTTCATCTTAATTACTTTAAATGAAACAATTAAATTCATTTATTTCTATTTTTAACAACCATGTTTTTAAAATACTAGTTAGTAACTGATAAATATAAATTTTATAACTTTTTTATTTCATAATATTTTAATAAAAATTTTTCAAACATGAGCACATAATTATTTCCAATTTTTTTTTTAAATTAATGTTGATAAATATGATCAAATATCTGTAATTAAGTAATATTGGCCATTAGTAGGGCTGCAAGTTTGTCGCGGGAAAAAAGACCCCAAATTCGCGGAAAAATTGCAGGAAATTTTAAAAATTACACAAATTCTAAACATAAAAAAAAAATTATATAAATGATGCAAAAGACAGAAATTGCGCAAATAATGAAAATAGCTTAAAAATACACAACAAAAGTATTTCTTTGAATTTCAAGCGATATTAATATTTTTATCTAAATGAACAGAATTTTGGTACAAAGTATTGTACATTGTCAGATTATTCTCATTTATCCTTCGTCTTTCATCACTTAATACATTTTTATACTCAGAAAACTATCTTTCTGCGTCAACGCTGTTTTTAGGCACCGACAAACTTTGAATTTTGGAGCGTTCGGTCCATGATTTCCAAAACTCGATCAATTTTCCTTCACCAACGAGCAATTCCTTGACCGTTGCTTTGTAAGAAGTAATTGCTGTGAAAACGCAAACATTCTACATTCAAACTACTAGTTGCAAGTCCCTACTAACTACTAGTCCCCCCCTTCATCTAAGAAACTGATCCATATTTAAGAAATCACAAGTAGCCGCGCCGCCTAGGAAAAATTAACTGGATATGTAGAAAGGCAGTAGAAATTTCATTGCCCAGTGCAATAGCATGTATAGTAATTTTTCTGTCAAAGATTTTATTTATAACATTTTCCCTCTTTTGTGATTCCTATTTCTTTTGTACTCTTACTGACTTCAGGAAGGTAATTACCCTCCCTAAGTGTAGAAAGACCACCTTAGTTGACAAGACTGTGATTATCTCTTATCTCTGAACTATTTTCATGTCATTTTGCTATTGATTCACTCCCCTAAATATCTAATCAATTTTACATGTTCAATTTAAGGTCCAGGAAAATAAAAAATTTTGTTTAATAAAAATAATAAATAAAAAATGAAAAGAAAAATCAAATTTTAAGCGATTTTCGAGCAAGTCAAGCCATATTGAGAAATTTGCGGATTTTAGGAAAAAAGATGACAATTTCGCGGAAATTCGCGCCGCAACAAACCTGCAGTCTTAGCCATTGGTTATATTAAACTAAATACCTAGAAAAACGGAGTTATAAAAAAAAATTTAATAAAATTTAACAATATTTTTTGGCAATTTAACAATATTTCACAGTACAATATTATACTCTTTGTAAAAGTATCATATAATTGCTATAAAAATTACGCAACTCGAAATTCACACTTTTCAACATTTATTACAAGGTTTATACTAAAAAAAAAGACAATGTCAATCAAAATAAAATTCTAGGTTCAATAAAAAGAGCAAAATTTAAACTAAATTTATATTTAATAAAAATTATATTTGTGATACTAAATAATAAATAAACATAATCATAGCATTATGTAATATAGGATTACATTTAAAAATTATAGATAGAATTATTAAAAAAATAAATTCAATATGTACCACAATGTCAATGATTTAAATTGAATTATAAATTGAATTGAGTTGTTTAAAAAATCTGATTTTCTAAAATATTCAATCATCACCAATTTAAAACATTAATGTAAAAATCACTGATTAAGATATTTTACTATGCTTCAAATTTTGAGTAGTGAGAACATAAAATATAATTTTTCTAAAGTAATAAAAAAATATCACGTTTTTAAATAAATTTATGAAGCATTTTCAAATGTACTGGAATCATGAGAAATCGCGGGCCAACTATAAGATGGTTAATACGTCTGTAATTCATTGCAGTCAACTACTGTTTTCAAAATATTGCTCTTAAACTTAGCAGACATAAATATTGAGTTTTTTAAATCACACTCTCTCTCACCTACGGAAATGCTAATGCATTAAAGAAGAATCTCAGTAACTTACCAATTGATTGTCTGCTTGACAATTAATTAATTTTTTTAATTTTTACTATGTTCTTTGCAAGGTTTGAAAGACAAAAAAAACCTGAGAATTCCAGGTTTGGGGGGAAAGTTATATTTTCCCCAATCTTTTTTATCGAATTTCACTTTTCCCAGTGTTTCGGATGCCTGTTTATATAACCACCAGTACTTATTTTTTAAAGATAAAAATCCTATAAAACTGATACTATGTCAGAATGCAATAGCTCAGGGGTTTCCAACTATCACGAGGCCGGGGGCCGCAATTAAAAACACCAGTCAAATGGCGGGTTACAACTTTATCAAAATCTTATATAGGACTCTTTTATGCTTGAAGGAAAGTTAAATATTACTGTCAGATTTTTATTAGGTTGTACAAAACAAAAGTATTGAACTACAAATTAAAATAAGAAGTAGATTTTTAAAAATATTTAATTGCAAATTAAGATATTCTGGCTACAATAACTCGAATGTGCACCTATATTGAACAATTAATGTGAAACAGATATCAAATTGTTAAGACATAAAACTTAAAATATTTAAAACCCATACAGTTTTTCTACGAAAATTGTCTGCAAAAAAATGACAACTAATATATTTTGGTTCGCGGGCCACAAAGAAAAGCTTCGCAGGCCAGATGAGGCCCGCCGGCTGCCAGTTGGAAACATTGCACTAGCTGAACTGCTTTTCCTGTAACTTATTTCGTTTATTTGGTAAAATTGGGGATTCTAAAACAGGAAAACAATAAAATGTAACAATAACTGAGTGAAGAAAAGGTAAAAATTTAAATAGTTAACAAAGCAATTAATTTTTTAAAAAAACTAATACCAATACAAAATCTTCTTACTCTAGAAGACCTGTCCTTAGAGCATTGTCTAGTCAATGATCTGTTAGCTACAATGTCCTTAGCAATATTATGAATGGAGGAAATCCACTCGTCTCGTTCCCTGGCATTTAAAGCTTGTAACACAACAGATCTTTAATTTAAAAAAAAACATAAAAGCTTCAATATACCTTATCAATTATAGTGTAATTTAAATCAAAAGAAAAATAGTAAAACACAAGACATATACAGTTAGGAAAAATTTACATAGATATGTTTTGGAAAAATAACATCATATGATATTTTTCCAATGTCATTGAGGAATTTATAGAATAATTTCTGTAGCGTTATTGATTTTTTAAACTAAGTAGTTCGAGCATCACTCAAGAGATATTCAATCAAAATCTAAATAAAAAATTTTAAAAACGTTTTTAAATCCGAAAATTTAGAAAGAAGAATAAACTAATACTTAAAATACATTAGGTACAACTTCCTATATTTAGAGAAAATACTGTTATTCACATAATTTTTTGGGGTTATACAAAAAAAATGCATAAAATAAGCAAAATATGATTGAATAAATAAATTTATTGATTTTTGCTTTAATTATCTTTTTATGTATTTTCTTCATGTGTTTTTCTCTTTAAATGATTAGGAAAACTACTGCTAAGCAAATGTAATACCTAAGATTATTGTAAAATATTTTTTATTATTGCTAATTTTTTGTAACTATTAAATCTTCCTCTTTCTCATATTAAAAATTGTGAGACTAGATTGAGCATACTTTTTCTATAATTTTTTCCAAAGAAGAACACTCTGATCACTTATATTTATTACAGACAAACTGGGAATTGATGATAATAAATAATTCAAGGATATGGAAGAATTATGAAAACTTGCTTGGTATGAGCACAAAAAACAAAAAAACTTATGTTCAGTAAATATATTACTGAAATGAATATTATCAAATATAGAAACCAACTAAATTTTAACTAGAAATTTAATGATAATAATTAACAATGATAATGGCATAAAATCTGAAACTAAATCTTTCATACAACATAAAATCTAAAATAAATTCTTAAATCAACATTAAGAGCACATAGATGTACATGTTTGCACATCAAGTGCAAATAAAAAATTTTGAATTTATTTTTACTCTAGTTAAAATATATATTTTTATCATATTTTGTTCCTCAAAATTTTTTGACCTTAGATCACTCCCAGATTGCAAATATGAATTCAATAATCACAACTGGATAAATTGGACAAAAAAAATGCTTTAAATTTGGTAAATTTTTCACTTTAACATATTAGTTTACATTTACTGGCCCGGAGGCCGTGTGGAAGTGCGTTGTGTTCCTATGTAACAGGTTAAGGGTTCTATTCTCTGACTAAGCAAAGTTGACTCAACTTTCATCCCTTCAGTTAGTGGGTAAATAAATAACAAGCATGCTTGAGGACTGAACACAGGAGTTCTGCATTCAGCTGGTCACAGAATCGAAAAACCTGCTCTAGCACCCCAGAACCCTAAGTAAAAAAAACTGGGATAAGCACAGCATTGCTTCCATTGCCTGTCGCACCACTGAGTTCAGTTTTATTTTTTAGTTTTCCCTTATTTATCGTTAGCTAAAAATTAATTAAAAACTTTAAATTAAACTAAAACTTTAAAATACATTTTGTATCAAATAAGGCACATATAAGCAGCGGTGGCTCAGGGGATAGAGCACCCAATGAGGTGGTCCTGGTTAGAATCCCAGTGGTGACTGGTTGATACGAATTCTGCTTCCAGCTCACATTGACCACAGTGCTGACATAAAATATCCTCAAAGGTAGGCGAATCATGGGTTATAAACCCCTTGCAATCAGGCTAACCATGGGAGATTTTGTGGTCTCCATGTAACGCAAATGTGGATTAATTCCATGAAAAAAGACCCCCACAAAAGCAAATTTCCCTCAATGCTTGATCCAAGAGTTCTCTAGTCTTCTGGGTTGGGTTCAAAATTACAGGCTTTAGAGATGAACATTGATAGTTGTGAACTCAGAATTGGGTCAACTATTCATTGGCGGTTATACAATAAAATAAAATAAGGCACATAAAGAAATATTAATAAAAAAATAATTACAGTGGGTGATTGGTTAACGAACATAATCCGTTCTAAGACTATGTTCACTATCCGAATTGTTCGTTAACCGATCATCGATTCACCATAGACTTCTANGTGTTCGTTATCCGAACACAAAAATCTTTCGTGAAAGTGTTCGTTAACCGATTTGTTCGTTAACCGATCTGTTCGTTAACCGATCACCCACTGTATAATCAAATTGGCCAAAATTGACACAAATTTTTATAAAATTTCACAGCAATTTTTTTAGTCAAAAAGAAAATAGTATAATAGAATCTCTGCAATTTTAATCCCTAACATCATAGCCAAAATAATAATAAATAACAATATATTAACATAAATGCAATCTCACTTTTTTCCATTAGTGACTTGGAAAACATTACGTCGATCTTCATTTTCAAGTGGCACTGTTGTTGCAGTTTTGTCGAGTTCCAATAGAACACTACCGGCAAGCTAAAATTATAAAGATATTTATGACACTGACATAATAGACTATAAAAAAATACAGAGAAAGTAGCAATATACTTACATCGCCTTTTGACATAGTCATCAATTTACTACCCAATGTATATACAAACACATGTTCCCATTTGGTAACCATTCCAGCGAATTTTCTGAAAAGTACCAAAAAGAAAATAATAATAATAATAATTAAAACAAAGTTTGAGTAAACTAAAAAGTTTTGTTCCTTTTTTAGAATTAAATATTTTTTCAGAATGTCCCAAATCAAAAACTTGTTTAATCAAAAACATGTCTGAAATTAAAAATTAGGAATATTTTCTACATATTTAAATTTTGTAAAAATTATTATAAAAGTCAATGTAAAAATTCATAAATCATGCGTTTCAATAGTTAAAATAATATAAGTTTTAATGCTACATTTGAGCACTATCTTTAGTCTGCAACAAAATATAGAAAAATCGCAAGGAAAAATATCACATTTGTAATGTTAGTCATTGCCAGCTTTCAATATTTTATAGTGAACTTAAGATTAAACAGTTTTGCACAACAATAAAAACATGTTGTTCTTTTTTGAAATGTTCTATTTTTAATTAACTTGAACTATCAGATGGCTTTTTTCTATTTATCGGCAACACTTTATTGCACGAATGATGGAAAATGTAAAGCTTGCATGAATTTTGATAACCCTTTATAATTAGATAATAAAAGTTACAGTATCTTTCACTTTTTCAAAGTATGTATTTTTTAAACAATCCTTCCATTTTTTTTTTTAAATATAAAAATTATAAAGACTTAAAAAAGTATAAGAGAAAAAGGACTGGAGGGAAAATAACAAAATTTTGTTTAAAAAATAAAAACATCTAGACACAAATTATATTTAAATTTATAAAAATAGTGGTGGGTATTATATTAATAAACTAAAATAAACATTTAAATACATTTATATAAAACATTAAGCTAATAATGTAGTTCAAAAAGAATTAATACATTGTGAGAGAGGCATTAAAAGGAAAGTTTAAAAAATCTATAGAAAAATATATATCCATTTTCAATTAAATGCATATTTTATTATTTTCTAATTAAAGTAATGCACTAATATCAACTATAGTGAAGTCAAATATGTGTAGAGATTTGCATTAATCAAAGTGTTTATCTTTTACCTAAATGAACCTCATGAAAAATAAGCTGTGATGCTCCAACTTATGAGCCATTAACCCTCTCAATCGTATGGGCCTCATATAAGGACTTATATATTTTTGTTTTATAATGATTATTTATGCATAAACATTTGTGCTTAAATTCGTATGTAGTCCTCATTTGGAGTCTTCAAACAGATTTTGAAAACTACACCAGGTGGCAGGCCACTCAAGATATTTAAAAGAATAAGATTTCTTTGAAAGTCGTTGGAGGATTAAACAAACAAGTGGAAATCTGATATTTTGTTTATTTATTTTGGAGGGTGTATTAAAATACAGGAAAGGTTGGAATTATTACATATCTTCTTATACCTTATAAATAAAGTTTGAATATTCAGTTTTACCGTGATTAAAATTATATTGATAAAATATACTACATTTACATCATACCAAGACACTAATTAATTTCTGATTATACAGGACAATAAAATTTCCAAAAATAAATTATTACACCACAATTCTGAAAAACTAAATGGGTTTGAAGCATATCTAAATACTTTTTATAACTGAAATTAAAAATTCATGCATGAAAGGGTAAATGCTTTGATCTGCAAACATTTTACTAAAGTTAGATTAATCAATTTGGCTAAAAAATAATAAAATTATGATGTAAAATTTATATTAGCATTTAAAAAAAAAGAAATTTAAAAAACAAAATATATNTATATATATATAAACAGAATACTCGATCATAAATACAAAAAAATCATACGTTTTCAAAAACAAATATCCATTCTTTTGCGAGAGACCAGTATTAGGGGGAATATATGGCATATCAGAAGGAGGTTCTGCGTAATATAAATGTTTACTTTGCTGCTCGATAGTATCGATCAACTCAACAGTTTTTTGAGTTTCAAGTCCCATCTCTGTCTGTACCCTACAATGAAATAATCTGCATTATAGCAATCCTTTTACAGCAATAATATCGACTAAAACCATGTAATATAATTGAAATGGTACATTACTTAAGTTATAATAAATTTACTATTCAATAAAGAAAACTAATAGTTTAGATCTGATAGAAATATTTAACATTTTGAAACAAATATGACTTTTAATTTAAAAACAATATGCATCATACTAAATTTTACGATTCATAATTAGAATTGGGTTTAAATATTTAATACTATTATATAACAAATAATAAAGCAATAATATTTGTTGTCAATGATTATATATTAATGCTAGAAAAGTAATTGCTTTCAAAAAAAAAATTTAAGTTTTCAAATTTCTGTAAAAAGGACAAATTTTGTTACAACTGCACCATTGTCTTTATTAATTGTTATGAGCACATGGTTATACATCTGATAATAAAAAATTCACGGAACTTATTAAAATTTAAACATTTTGCAAGTTGAAATTTGAAAATAGGCAATTTTAATGTCATTTTTAGTATTAATTAATAAAAGAATGAAATACAATTCGCTTCTAGTAACATAATATTTTTTATTCCTTTTTAAGGAATAAATCAAAATGAAAAATTTCTTAAAACCTTTAAGAAATTTAAGGAACAACATACCCCTGTATACTAGTTCCTATATTTGTCAAAAAAGTTTCCAATTCTGGAGTATTAACTGTTTCTTGACCAACCGAGAATGTTGATCGAATAGCATGAAGATATCCCAGTATTGGCTCTAGCAATGCAATTTTACGTTTGTACTGCAAAGCATTCATACTGGCGTAATAGTGTAAAGCAGTCTGAAAATAAAATTGTTAAAAAAAATTGTACAATAATTTTGAAAGCTTTAAGAGGCAAATTGCAACAAAAATGAGTTTCTGTTAAAAATTAGAATTTGGTGTTACAAAAAATTAAATCAAGAAATTTATTTTATTATGCATATTATTGCTTCAATTTATAAATTGCAAACAAATTTAATTTAATAAAAGAAAAAAATAATATATCTTAAAATAATTGAATCAACTACTTTGCGTAAAATAAATTTCATAGTTGCTAATAGGTTTGATTTTTTTTTATTATTATTATTATTATTATTCATTTTTATGCTCTTTTCCTATTTTATCATAATTCACACACTATTACAGAATCAAACTTTCTCCTTTCACCATTATTATCTGCTCTGATATGAGCAATACAATAGATATCAATACGGGTGATTTAGAGATTCCATCGTTTGTTTAATAAAATTTTAAATGTAATAAACAATCTATTAGATGCACAAGAAATTTATAAAAACTGATATGTAGCATATTATAGAAATTACACTTTTATTAATAACAGTTAAATTTGATACATAATTTAAACTGGATTTAGTTACACTTAAAAAATAAAACAGAAAAAATATTGCCAATATTCCCCAATGATAATTTTACAACTAGACAATTTAATATACAAATAGAAACTACTAAATATCGGAAAACCAAAGATTATATTAAAATTTATTAAAGAAAATCAAACACAGACAATTATGTGCAACCAACAGTGTAACCAGGAAACAGTGCATTTAGTTTTAAAATTTAGTGCAAATAAATTACCAAGTTTCCTAAACAAAACATAGCAAACCATATATTTCATGATCATTTCTCGCCTACCATTTTTCTCTAGAAGGTTTTTAAAGTCATTGGGCATTTAGGGAAACCTAGTAGACTAAATTAAAGCAAAAGAATGCAATTTATAAGAATGTACTTGGTGATATTTTTTTGTAGCCATGTAGACTTCTTCATTGACTTCTTGTCTGACTTTCTCACTGTCTCTTTTTTTAGAACACTTACAGAATTTCGTAACAGACTGCTCCATTTCTGAAAAAGAAAAAGAAATACCTTTACATGCAGGCTTGATATTGAACTCATCTAACGATTAATGAAAAGAAACGTACCATTGGAGGCAGATGCAAAAATTTCCATCATTGTAAAGATATCTACAAGCATAAAAAAGATTTCATTACTTATAAACATTTTATTTTTATTACATACATTTTATTTGACAATTGTGATTATTTTTAATATATAAAATATGCTTTAGCAAATGTTATATTTAGAATAAAAATTTAAACAAGCAAAAAATTTTATAAGATCACAATAAAATAATCTAAAATATTGCACTTTTCCATTTATTTTCAAACAAAACAAATAGGCATTCATTGTCTAAAATTCAAAACAATTTCAAATAAATTTTTTTTCTTGACTCACTTAAAAAAAAAATCATTACAGGTTTAAATATTAGAGATGATGATAGATGTACAGTTAAGTACAGTACATTAATTTATTTTAAAGCTTTAATAACAAAATAAATAAAATCAACTATTAAATAGAAAAAATATTTATTTATGAATTGAAAAGGAAAGATCCACTTGAATTTAAATTTATTTACTGAGTTCAACAAGAAATAACATCTGTACAACTGTTGAAACCTTAACAAATTTTGGAGTCTGCAAATTACAAAATTAGAGAAATATCTTAATTAAAGGTATAAAGTTAACCCTTTTTAATTATTTAAAATTAAAGTCATTGAAAAATTAAAACCAGGTAAATTTAAAATAGTTACCTTTATATTTTTTAAAAATAACCTTTCCTGATAAAAGAAGAAAAAAAAACTCCAATCATCTGCAAGTCAATTAGTAAAATAGATTTTTCTTATATTTTTTCCACTGTTTCAATATTTATAAGCTTAAAATCAAGATGACAAAGAAATAAAAGAAGAAAAAAATTTATCATCCCAAAACTGAAAAGTTAACAAGAAATGAATTTTTATTATGGAAATGCCAGAATGAATCAAGAGAAGCTTCCTGCTAACATTTCTAAAGAAACTGCAGAAAAATACAATTTAGTAAAAGGAAAAAAATTGTGTTACTAAGTTTGTCCAAATTAAAATTTCAGTACAAATTATGACAAATAAACATGTACATAAATGAATGTATGTCATTTTAATATTAGTTTTATTACCAGACAAATCAGCATCAATAAATCGGTTGATTGGATAAAGCATCCCATCTCCTAACTGTGCAGCACAAACTTGTTGTAAAGAGCTAACCTGAAATTATAAAAAATATCTAATGAAAATAAATAAAAATTATAATAAATAGCCTCAAATTTTTGTAACTAGCATTTTTTAATACTGAATTAACAAGTAAATAATTTCTTTGCAAGTATAATATTTTTCAATACTTATTTTTCATTTATTTATTAATTTTTTTGAAAAACATTCTATTATAATAAATAGCTCAAGATCATATTCTTAAACATATTCCTTATTCCTCACATGATAAATCCCATTGGGCAAATTTCTTTAGATGTTTATCTTTTTTCACCATTTCCTTTCCTCTCATTTTTTTTTTTTTTTTCTTGAGGAATGATATAAAAAAAACTGCTTACGATGTTAGTTAGTAAGGAAGTTAGATGGTAATATTTTATGTCCAGAATCATCAAAGGATACATGGTGTAAAAATAAATTGTAGATTAAAGAAATAAACAAGTTAATAAAAGCTATAAATAGTAATGGTGTGTGAAGGTTTTTATTCAAAACTTATTACAAAATAATGTCAGTAACGTATAGTAAATGTGAGTATGCATCATATTGCAGAATCTGTTGAGAGAGATTAAAAAAAGCCATGATTCAATTGAAAAGTAAAAAAGAAAGTTTAAAGAAATTTATAATAGTAGGTTAATTTTTTATCTTATCATCTATGCTATCACTTTTACATTTATAACAACAAATCATTTCACAGAAATAGAGTTGCAGAATATCAACCATTTAAAGCAAGATTTCTTATAAAATTGAATATTATATAAAGAAAATATTTAGTACTCCATTGTATAATTATCTCTAATAATGCAACTAATAAATTTTTACGAGCACAAAACTTATAAAGAAACAATTTTTGAAGAATTTCTCTTTCAAAAATTTTATCTTCTTCAAAAAAATTTTAATCCTCCTCCAAAAATTTAATTATTTATCCCCTCAACTGCCGCAGGCGTATATATACGTCGCGGCCAGACGATGCGTTAACTGCCGCAGGCGTATATATACGCTTTCCCGAAATACGATGCTTTGCATTGCGCTGCTATAAATAGAACTACCCCCCCTACTTCAGAATGCAGTAGAATGACCTTGAAAGTGTTTGCTTTGCAAATGTATTACTAATTTCGGAGGAGGGGGAATGGGAAAAGGATGTTATGGAAAAGAGATATCGTATTATTNCCAAACTCATCACTCACACACATGATGTTGGTTTATGTGTCCAACCATGTTTCAGTATTTATCCTACAACAACTAAGTTTTAGCATTTTTATTATTTAATTTAAATTTTGTATTTTCTTTCTTTCCTTTTTCTTGTCTCGTAAAAGTAAACTGTTCTTAAATTGCAACGAGTGCATCTTTTTGCCCCCACTAAAAGTAAGAAAGTGCACTTGAGCGAAAAACGGTGGCACTGGGGAGTGAATCACGTAAATTTTACTCTGCAGTTAGGGGTTAAAAAGAAAATTAAATTTAAAAAAATTTTTTAGTTTTTTTTAACCAAAAAACTTTTGAAACAAATATTTTTTTAAAAAAAGGCTAGATATTTTTTTAAAAACTGGAGAAATGTATGTAATTTATATACATTAAAAAAATAAATATTAAAAATAATTTTTCCACTGAGTCAGCATAAAGCCGTTTTTTACTTAAGTTCATAAGACAAAAGGTGCAAAGCTTCAAATACTTTTTTTAAATTTCTACTTATGGAAGCAAATTTGAGGTGCAGAATGCTAAGACTCAACTCTCTAGTGTCGAAAGTTGAGTCTAAGACTCAACTCTCTTCCTACTCTACTCTATTCGATGATATATTCTAAATATATCAAAATATAAACATCAGGAAATGATATATAATAATAAATCAGATACTGGTGTTACCAAACTAATGATATCTGAGATATGCAGGAGAAAAAATTCCATTGGGTCTGTTATTTGGATGTCTGTAGGCAAAAACATTACTGGTAGAGATTTCTTCCAATTATTCAAATAATTTGTCTTCTAATCTTTAAGACAAATATTCATTTTGTTTTAATAAGGCTGAGTAATAAATATTCTAATTAATACAAAAGCTTAACTCATTGCAGCTCCTGAAAACAGTTTTTTTTTTCATGTTTCTCTTCAAAAAAGGTTTTGCACCCCAATCTCAGAAAATAATTTCCTGGATATATTTATTTATGTATTTACAAGAAACCTAACAAATATATAACGAAAATAGAACTATGTTATTAATTATAAAAAATAAAATAAAAGCAACAACATATCAAAATTTTAGAATTTATAATATACTAAATAACTTACTTCATCTAATGTGTCAGCAAATTCTTTTAAAGTTGTTTTGAGCACGCTATCAGGATCAGTGTCTAGAGGAAAACGCTGTCAAAGACAAAAGACACAGTAAATAAAGAATCATAGTTGAAAATATAAAAATCTAATTCACATAAATTTCTTAAAAAAGTCATACTTGGTTTTCATAAGCTCTAAGATGTTGGGATAAACTTGAAGTTGCAGATGCCAGCTCTTTCTAAGGAAGAAAAATTTAAGCATGTAGGAAAATATCAGTATATATTTTTCAAAATACTACTTAATTTAAAAGTCAAAAGAAGGGATTATGTTACTTGAGCATTAAGAACTTTTTCACAATGTGATCGTAATACTTCAACATACTCTCTTAATAAGTCAGCATCTTGTTCAAACAGCGAAACCATAGACCGTGTCTGCAGAGAAACAAATTAGGCTACTTGATTACAACTGAAACTAAATATTTCAATGAAAATATCATAATAACAAAAATATGTTTTAAGCAAATTAAGAAGGATACAGTTTGTCAAGTTAATTTATGAAATTGGTGTATTCTTCTCTTGTGCCTTTTTACAATATTTATATATTGAACAGGTGTAGCCCGGAAGAGAGGGTGCACAAATCTCATAGGTAGTTAAATTTTAATAACAAACTCCAGCAATTATGTTTGTTTTCTCTCATGACTTCAATTAGTCTCCAAAACAATTTTAATTCCAAGAGTCATAGGGACAGATCCTGTGAATAAATCCATCCATAAAAGAATCCTCCACGATTAAAAGACAGACAAATATTCAATTTTTTTTTCTGGTAATAATTTTAACAGTTATAAGTTTAATACCTACATATTAAATACCACTTTATAATTTTTTTTCTATTTTTACCTGACTGTCTAACACTATTGCCATATTTGTGCCTGTTCAAGTCAACAGCAATTGCAAGAGTGACACTGGGCATTACTCGTACTAACACATTCCTTTTTCTTTCCTTTAGTTTTTCTAGCTACAGTCTGGCTTTCCCCAATTCTTGGTGACTATCTTGGCACAGGTACAGATGTGGATATCATCCCGATTATCTTAACAATTGCCTACTGCAATAAATGTACGCACTCAAATTTTTTTAAACAAGTTCCTGGTTGTATTGTCAGTTATTAGAAAAGAAGGTAGGAAACACAGACTTTCTTCAGTGTACTGATTTCATTACATTTTGTTTACTACAAGAATAAATGGCACGCAGGTTGTTCGGTAATCATAGCAGGAGAAGATCCATTACCACTGCAGAGGATCAAAGTTGAGATGGCATATCTTTAGATTATCCTCATGAATGTTTCTCTGACCATTGCCGATAGCCTACTGTGCCGCTCAAGTGCAGCGTAAATTAAATACTACTACTTGATAAAATAAACATAAATTATTATTTTGAGAATTAAAAAAAAAATTGCAATAGCTTAATAAGTAAAAAAAGGAATGCCCAGAGCATAAACTTCCCATAATTTTACTTTTTTTTTCTTTCTATTTTATACATTTTAATATATTTATCTATCTTGAAAATAAATTCAAAAGTATATAAAAAAAAACTGTAAGATCATTATATTTATTATAAAAACAGTTGATAGTTATTATAAACTTTCGAGAGTAAAACTTTTTGATAAAATTAAATTTTATTAAAAACAGTAAAAAAAATAGAATGATAGAAGATAAAATTGAATCATTTTTTAATATTTATCTTCTATTACCTTATCGTTTAATTGTATCGTGTTAGAATGATTTGACCTCCATCAAATTAATATCACCACTGCTTCTATCATTTCCGTCGTTTATCCTACTAATTAACCCCATGGCAGAATCATAACAACAAAGGGACATTGTTGCAGAACATTAGAGTTTTTGCAAAATTATTTTTAATTTGGGAATGGTTTTCCTTTCTGTAGAATTTTCAGAAAGATCTTTGAAAATCTTAAATCACATATCATTTCACTTTGTTGCTCAAAACTCGAGCGGATTCCACCGTAAATATATGTAATGTATGAACAATTTTTTGGTGATTATTGCAACAATATTTCACTTTGTTTTTAAAAATCTTGATGCCAATCATTGCTCAGTTATTACTATTAATAATCTATATGGAGTTTCAATCATTTTTCGACAGTATTTCCTACAAATTTTCACATTTAAAAAAATTCTGACTTTTTTACACAATTTTATTGCAAAGAAGTATTATCTGATGAGGTCTATACAAACTTGAGATTTAATGAGACATCATAAGATTTCTAAGATTTCAGATAAGATACTATAGCTGATCATTGATACTTAAGTAATAAAAATAATCAGTAAAATTTAAATTGAAAATTTTGTGAAATGATGAGCTAAAACAAAGCTACAAAAACATATTTTATTTAACAAATGTGCAAAATTATAAATTTAACTATAAATGTTACTATGCTTATTTGATTATTGAATAGTTTAACAATGATATATTTCGTATTCTACATGATTTTCTATCAAAAACAATACAGATATAACAATTGCTTAATATAATTGAGGATATTTCTGAATCATGATCTGTCGAACCAACTACAATTGCTAAATGGATTTTAATTTCCAAAATTATAAAAATAACATACAAGTTGATGTTGAGCTGGTTTCTTATGATGTCTTTGTTAGCTTCTAAAATGCCACTGCGCGGAACTTGGAGATCATTTTAACGTTGATCATGACACAGATAATATTACAATCTACCTATTGATGATATAAAGATAGTAAAGATAATAAAGAAAAACTCTTATTTGTATACCTGAGGATTATCTTCTAAGGCATCTTCTAAATGTATTTTTTCTAGTCCAGGCATTGTTTAAATATGAAATTCTAAGTGTAGTGTCTAAAATTCATTTATATAAAGCTAAACTACACCAAACCTGTAAGGAGCAAGTATTTATAATTAATAGTAATTTTCATTCCATTTTATAAATAATGTTTAAATTCAAAAAATGAACAAAAGATTTATCTTTAAATTAGTAATGAACAGAAGATATCTAATAAATGATTTTTTAAAAACTCATTTTATTCAAGATCTTCAATAAAGATATGTTGCTCTCTATTGTTATCAAAACATGTTTTCACGCTTAAATTTAGTAGTTAATGGTACTCAGAAATCATTTTAATTCGTACATGCAATTCAGGATCAGGATGTACTAAGCTGCTAATTCATCACATTTCTATTGACAAGAGTATTGAGTGAAATCAAAACAAATATTAATTTCGAAACTATGTGAGGTACAGTGTAAATCAAATATAGATTAGGGAGGCACTTTCTTAGAAAACAGGGTTTAAATAATACAATCTGAAAATATATCTAAAGATATAAAAATCTCATTATATAAGTAAGATTTTTACCACTAATAATAACTATAATGCTTAATAATTTATAAAACTTTCTCTATCTGTCATTCCAAATTTACAGACACACCGATCTTTATTATGATGCCAATTTGGAAACATTTATATTTACCAATTTCCAATTTTGTGTGTAACCACGGTTGCAACTAGCTTATTTGAATCAATCATTAAATTTCAAGGAATCATTCTTGCTTTATCTACGCACTGTCTTGGCTGACCCGAATTTATGGAAAGCCCATGTAAAAACAATTTACTTACAGCATGAGAAAAATTCATGAGCGTGTTTCTACTAAGATACGAAATGTTTGCACACAGTGAGAATAATTTTCGAAAGGAGAAGTTACACTTTAAGAAATCATTCTCAATGCCTTATATTTTTTTAACATGGGAATGAGAATCGGATTGGAGAAAAATATTGCCTGTGTGAAATTCACCAATCAGATTCTCGTTTGCTTTCAAAAATACTGAGATAAACCCGATATGATATGTAAATTGGATGCCGTGAAAATGGCCCGTAAACTGTAAGGAATCGTTCACATAGCATGAAATTGAAGCACCTTCGATCGCCTTTTAGAAAAAAATGAAAAAGCCGATTGGAAAATATTTTGAAGGAATATATATTTCACCAATCAGATTCTCATTCGTCTCCCTTGACTGTGATTGGAGGTCCGTGAATCACATGCTACGAAAATGGCCTTTAAATTTCCATCTACAGCTCTGGACAACAAGATCTGCCCCGCACGTTTGACCGGTTAGGAAAAAACAACAGAAAATCACTTCTTTCTCAGTGGGGGAAAAAAAAAACGATATAGATAAATCTGAGTAAAAAATGGGCAGACTTCAAGAAAGGAAATCACTCGAGCATTATAAGTAAAGTTGTAATGACAGGGAAAAAAATATTTATTTAGAATAGACTGTGTGCTTTGGAAAAAGAAAAAAATTTGAAAATTGCTGGTCTAATTAATGCATTCGCAAATTTCAGTGGAAGTCGCAGAAGCCTTTCACAAGAAGCATTAAGGTCAGTGGCGTGCCAGCCGGGGGGGGGCAGAGGGGGCAGTCGCCCCCTCTGAAATTTTAGTGAGGGGGCAAACAATATATATCGCCCCTCCTGAAATTTTAACATTCGAAAAAATAAAATCAAGTAAAATTCCGATTAAAAAATAGTCAAAAAGTAAAATTTTAGAAAAAAGTAACTTTTTAATTGAACTTTGTAGCTATTTTCCTAGTAAAAAACCTAATTTTGCTCTGAAATTAAAGTAAGAGGTTATAATAAATATAAAGGCAAGAAATAAAGCCAGGTAAAATTGGTAATTTTAGGAAAAAACAATCTTTTTTCTTTTCAATTTTGAAGCTATTTTTCAAACAGAAAACCGTATTGTCTTCTGAAATTTAATAAAACGGCCTATATTGCGTTTCGCCCCTTCTGAAATTTAGACATTCACAAAAATAAAGTCAATTTAAATTAGTAAACTTAAAAGAAGAAAAACAAATTTTTTCAACTTTGAAGCGATTTTCTAAGAAAAAAACTTTATTTTATTCTGAAATTTAAATGAAGAGTGAATAATGTACTTCGCCCCTCTTGAAATTTTGAAATTCGTGATAATAATGTCAAGTTAACTTGATAACTTTAGAAGAAAATAACCATTTCTTTTTCAACTTTAAGGTTATTTTCGAAATCAAAAACTTTATTTTACTGTGAATTTAAATTGAGGGGGCGAATAACGTGCTTCGCCCCTTCTGAAATTTAGCCATTCTTGAAAACATAGTTAAGTTAAATTGGTAATTTTAGAAGAAAAAAAAGAACTTTTTCTCAGCTTTGAAGTTTTTATAAAAAAAAATGTAAGAAAAAAAAATTTTTTTCTTCTGAAATTCAATTGAGGGGGCGAATAGTGTGCTTCGCCCCTTCTAAAATTTAGCCATTCGTGAAAATAAAATTAAGTTGGTAATTTGTAAAAAAAAAAAAACTTTTTTTCAACTTTAAAGTTTTTTTTTTTAATAAAAAAAAAACATTATTTTTGTCTTAAATTTAATTGAAGAGGCGAATAGTGTACTTAGCCCGTTATAAAATTTAGATATTCGTGAGAATGAAGTCAAGTTCAATTGGTAACTTTAGAAAAAAATAGCCATTTCTTTTCCTACTTTAAAAATATTTTCAAAATCAAAAACTTTATTTTACTGTGAATTTAAGTTGAGGGGGCAAATAATGTGCTTTACCCCTTCTGAAGTTTAGCCATTCGTGAAAATAGAGTTAAGTTAAATTAGTAGTTTGAGAAAAAAAGAACTCTTTTTCATCTTTAAAGTTTCTTTTTTCTTTTTAAAAAAACATTATTTTCTTCTGAAATTCAATTGAGGGGGCGAATAATGTGCTTAGCCCCTTCTGATATTTAGACATTCATGAGAATGAAGCCAAGTTAAATTGGTAACTTTAGAAAAAACACACATTTTTTTCTACTTTAAAGCTATTTTCGAAATTAAGAACTTTATTAACCTCTGAAATTTAATTGAAGGGTGAAAAATGTGCTTCGCCCCTTCTGAAATTTAGCCATTCGTGAAAATAATGTCAAGTTAAATTGATAACTTTAGAAAAAAAGCCCTATTTTTTTCTACTTTAAAGTTATTTTCGAAATCAAAAACTTTATTTTACTGGGAATTTAAATTGAGGGAGTGAAAAATGTGCTTCGCCCCTTCTGAAGTTTAGCCACTCGTGAAAATAAAGCTAAATTGGTAATTTTAGAAGAAAAAAAAATGTCAACGTTAAAGTTTTTTTTTAAATTTCTTTTCTTCTGAAATTTAATTGAGGGGGCGAATAGTGTTCTTAGCCACTTCTGAAATTCGGAAATTCGAGAGAATGAAGTCAAGTTAAATTGGTAACGTTTGAAAAAAAGTACTGTTTTTTTTCTACTTTAAAGCTATTTTTGAAATTAAAACTTTTATTTTCCTCTGAAATTTAATTGAAAGGCGAATAATTTGCTTTGCCCTTATTGAAATTTAAACATTCGTGAAAATAAAATTAAGTTAAATTGGTAATTTCAGAAAAAAAAAA